TCTAGATCACATACCTCTTTACCCACTAGCCCATTAATGTCACTCTGTGTACCATCCACAGTTAAACTCAATCTCTGGCCATAGACTGGCCTGCAAAACTGCACGATTCTCCCTCTGTCCTGGATATCCTATCTCCACAGATAGATCCTGACAGTGGATCACAGTTTTGTTTTGAAATAGGACACAATGATAGAGAAGGGCACAAAACAGTAAGAACAATCCTATGGATGATCACAAAGCAACAACACCTATGTCACCAGCGGCAAGTCTAGAGGAAGCAGTGGCCCTCTTCTGTGCCCTCTCTTTGGGTACATCTTTGACATTTCAATGTACGATTTGAAGGTTTTTGGGGGGGAGGAGGCTTGGTATGTACGTGAAGAGGATCAAGCCAAGGGCTTTAAGCATGCTAGGCAAGTGCTGTACCACTGAGCTGTACTCACAATATACCTTGTGTTTCGTTGTTACTTACATATGCATCCCAGTTAGGATTCTAGCTTCCCTGGCTTTGGATTTTATATAACTAGAATGCTAGAAATAGGCAATGGTTGTGGATCTGACTTATTTCACTTAATCCTCTATGAAATTCACTCATGTGATCTGTCATTTAGTTCATTTTCATTGCAGAACGCATCCCCTCTGTGTTGAGTACGCTGTGATTTCTCTCCTGACCACAGTTACATGGGATCTGGGAATTACGAATGAGGCTGCGATACACAGGATGCTTTGGTTTGTATGTGCCACTGTTTAGGAGGAGAAAACCTCAAGGGCTTCTTGTCCTGTGCGGCTTCTGTTTCATCAGTAATGCCAAGCTATATGTGAAACTGGTTGTGCCAATGTACACTTTCACCTGGTGTGTGAGATTCTGTGTCTCCACCAGCACTTAGCATTATTAAGCTTTTTGCTTTTAGCTGTTCTGGTGGCTTTTCAGTGGCATTGCACTGTTGTAATTCACATTTCTCCAGGACTGAGTCACTGGAACCCAATTTTCTTTCTTTCTTTTTTTGGTGGATGAGAGCTTTGGCATCCACTGCTCGTCTGACTCACCCTGACCTGTGGCCAAGTCCCTGAGAGATGATGTTATTTAGTCATTGATTCCTATTGATTTTTAGTTGGATTTGAATTCCCAGAGCAGGTCCCGGCGTTCTTAATTACAATGACAGTTAATGTTCATTGAGTTCCAGGCACTGTGCTATGTGCTTGGCATGCATACTGTCTCTTAAGAGACAAATACTAGGGTGGGAGACGCTAAACGACTTAGCTACAATCGTATAACTCAAAAGTGGTGTAATCTAAACGCAAATGAACACCCCCAGCTCCCATAACGTACTGCTTTGCCAATGTTGGAAACTTGAAAAGGAAACTTTAAATACGGTTAAAACCTGAATAGTATATTAGATGTGTAATTGTCAAAAGAAGAAAAGTGGTTGTATGACAAACGATGAATATCCCTAATATGTAGAGTTTTTTTTTTATAAATTAATAAAGTACAACCATCTGAATTGTAGCCATAGGAGTCTGAAGGTTAGATAAGTCTGAGAATTTTTCATGTTCTTGTAGCCATATAAAGATTTATATGAACAAACTTACAACTGCACCAAAAACTTACTTTAACGTATTTTTCCCTTTGTTTTTTGTCGGTTATGGGGCTTGAACTCAGGGCCTAGGCACTCTCCCTGAGCTTTTTCACTCAAGGCTAGCACTCTACCACTTTGAGCCACAGCTCCACCTCTTGTTTTCTGGTGGTTAATTGACGATAAGAGTCTCACAGACTTTTCTGCCTGGGGCTTGCTTTGAACTATGATCCTTAGATCTCAGACACCTGAATAGCTAGGACTACAGGAGTGAGCCACCAATGCCTAGCTTTAACAAAATAGACTTTAACATCTTGCATATATATATATATATATATATATATTACAATATATAATACAAACATATAGTTGCATAGAACAAAGTGGTACTGAGGAGTGAACTCAGGGTGTTGTACTTGCTAGGCAAATACTCTACTACTTAAGTCATATGCCTTCCCCTTTTTACTTTATTTTTTTCAGATAGAGTGTTATGTTTTTGCCTAGAGATGACTTTGGACCACAATCCTCCTATTTTTGCCTTCCTTCTATCTGAGATTACAGATGTGCACCACTATGCTTGGCTTGTTCTTAGAACTAACTTTTGCCTGGGCTGGCCTTGAACTTCAATCTACCTGTGTAGCTGAGATTACTGTCATGAACCACCACACCCAGCCAACACACAGTCATCTTTTGATACCTGAGGGTGCTCATGTCCCTTAAATAAAATGGCACAGATTTTGCATATAACACACATCCTTCTTTGTACTTTCAATCATCTCTGTATTTCTTAAAGTACTGAAGATTTAAAGGCCATGTAAGTAGACTGTTCTACTATATGGTTTAGGGAATAATAATAAGGAAACGTCTGCACACATTCAGATTACCTCCCTGAGTAATTTAGCTCTGTAGTTGGTTGGATTCACAGATGGGGTCCCCTGTATATGGAGGGCCATGGGATCGGTAGAAGCATGGGGTCGGTCCCCTGTCACCTCTATGTAAAACTTCCAATCAAGGAAAGGAAATGAATTCATCCATAGTTTCTCAGCTTTGATGTAACTGCTATTTTGGGCTATATCATCTTGGTGTGGGGTGCTGTCTGATACATTATGGGATGTTTGTCTTTCAGCTAGGTGGAAAGCCAGGTAGACTTCCATCCCAGTCCCAACCAAACTGTCATAAGTACAATGATTTTCAGACATAGCTTACTGCCTCTTGGAGGTGGAGATCTCAGCTGCTTGTCTACCTTGACTTTTTTTTTTTTAATGGGAGCTTTTCCTTATAAGGCTGGTGCTTTACCCCTTGAGCCAAGCCTCCATGTCTTGGGTTTTTTGGTTGGTTAATTAGATATAAGAGTCTTCCAGATTTGTCTGCCTGGGTTGTCTTTGAACCAGGATGACAGGCATGAGGCATAGGCACCTGGCTCCCACTTGATTTCTGAAGTGCTCCCACTTCTCCTTGAGATTATAACCCAAGGTCTGAGTACTCCCCAAGCTGCTCGGCATTCCACCATATTTTGATTTCTGTGCCTTGAGAAACCCACTGTCCTTTGTCTTAATACATAGGAGTATTGATACAGCTCTTGTCTTTGTCCAGTGACGTGCTGCTCCCTGCTTCCTGTTTCTTCTTTGTCTCCCTAGTACACTCTCAGTCAGCACAGTTTCAGCAGGCCACTGACTTGTCTGGTCTCATTGAGCTTCCAGAGGCCTTTCTACCGCTAAAAAAAAGCTCTTTCCACAAAGCTCATTCTCTCCATACAGCTTCCCATAAGGCCCCCAACAGCACCTCTACTTAAGTAATTATAGGACCATCTTCCCGGGCTGGGAGGGTGGCTCAGTGGTAGAGCGCTTGCCTTGCATGCCTGAGGCCCTGGGTTCGATTCCTCAGCACCACATAAGCAAAAAGAAAAAAGCCAGAAGTGATGCTGTGGCTCAAGTGGTAGAGCGCTAGCCTTGAGCTGAAGAGCTGAGGGACAGTGCCCAGGCCCAGTGTTCAGGCCCCACAACCGGACAAAAAAAAGGACCATCTTCCCAGTTCCTGCATCTTGGCATAGAGCAGATGCAAATCAACAGACACCAACAGAGGAGTTTGGTATCTTTCAGGATCGGCCAGAGACTTTATCCAAGGCTCCTGGGTGGGCCACGATCCCCTTGCTGCTCTCTGGAGATGGTACAAGGACCTAACAGGTGCCAGTCACTGTATGGGCATGAACATGACGTCATTGGCTCAGTCAACTGGTCCAGACTTGTTCCTGCAAATCTTGCTCTGAGCCTTAGAAAAGTCCCTTTCCCTTGATGTCAGCATTTTCTGAAAACCTCAGTTTATTCTAGTTTATGTCATGTTTTTATACTCGGAGACATGCTCCCCTTTCTACATTTTGGGAATCCCTTTGGGCCTGGGTTTTTCAGAGATACTCCCGCTCCCAAGCATTGCATCAGTTTTGGTAAGCTGGCCATTGTTTTTATTTCCTGTTGGGGATTATTTTCAGACCTAGCGACAGAAATCAATGCCTGGGAACCCTCTAAACTTTATCAGAAGGAGCAGTGGACAGAGAGAAACTGGCCAGCAGCGGGCAACACTTGCTGACCATTTAGACATATGATTGGGGAGATGACACATATAGGTTTCTGAGCTTTTTGGTTTGTTTGTTTTTGTGGTTCTGGGGATGGAACCCAGGCCTTCACATGCTGGGCAAGCACTCTACCACAGAGCCATGCCTGAGCCCCCCTTTGGCTTCTGTTTGCAGACAGCTGTGTATGGGGTTCTGGTGGCCAGGATAGAGATCACAGGAGGAGGTGGAAAAGTTAGATGAGGAGGAGGAAGAGGCAAGACCACAATGGGCACAGTCTGGGATATTTAGAGGAGTGTTTCCATGGAGACAGGTAGAGAAGTGGAGGAGGTTACTGGGTAGGACTTAGGAGGCCTTTGGTGGGTGGATGGCAACAGAAGGGTCTTCACGGGTGGCACGTGCTGGGGAGCAGCCATGGCTGAGGCAGGAGGAGACATCCTTGCAGGATGCTTTGAAGGAATGCCCAGAGAAAGTGAGGAGAGGAAAGCCAGGAGAGGAGCTTGAACCAGGGGCCAGTGGAGGAAGAGTCTGAGGACAGAAGGATGTCCAGCAGTGCTAAATGATACTGAGACCTCAATTCAGAATGCAGAAGTGCCCCGCTGCATTAGCCCAACCCAGCAGGTCCGACATAAAGGACAGAACGTTGCTAAATGACACTTGGGATCAAACAGACACCTTGCTTTGACCACATGACAAGAGCTCAGAGGAAGGAGAGTTGGGGACCCGAGGGAGATGGATTGTACATTCTTTTGGGAGCTCTGTCCTGGGGTACTGTGCTAAGGTGGGCTGATGGGGGCCAGAGGAAGGACAGCAGGTAGTGAGTGTATCCACTGTAACAGAAGACCAAGACCGCCTTTCCATACCTTTCCCATGCCGGCATGGGCGTGTCCCAGCTTGATCACCACGGGGAAGTGCGGGGCTGCAAGCTAGAAGAGACAAGAGAAAATGACTTGTGAGCTTTTCAGAGCTTTGCCAAGGTGTGGAGGGGGGGGAGGGGGGGCAATTACCTGTGCTGTAGACAAATCCCGCATCTGCTGTGGCTCAAACTCCCACCCTACAGGCCAGAGCTGTGGCTCCCAGAGGAAGCTCTGAGACATCTGAGAGACCACCAGGCCTGCAGAGATGGTGGAGCAGTACCCAACAGTAGGTTTCAAACCCTGGCAGGGGCTACTCCTGAACGGTCACAGACAAGGCGTTACATGAACTTGTGCATCTGTTTCCTCACCTCTAATATGGGAAAACAACAGTCATTTCTACCCCTCCCAGACTGCTGTGAGCATCACGTGAGTTATCATACATTGAGCATGCTTCGTTATCCCTTCGTGATCTGCCTTTGCTATTCCCACCAGGAAGGACAGTTCAACTACCTGGAAGTGCTCCCCAGCTCTTCCTAGGCCTTCTGTGAGCCACATTGGGGGTTTTCTTAATGACTGTAGAGATGCCCCCATCTGCACAGGCATTTGTTGGCTATACCACATGGGCAGGGTGCTGAGTGCTCACCCCATATCTGCCTTGACTGCTTGTTTCCCTGTTGTACCACTAGCTTTCTGATCCCAGGATGAGGCTGAATGCCAGATCGGTGCTTTGTTCTGTCCTCTCAGAAAGACCTATAAGACACGTGCACTTGGCCCCATGATATAAAAGATCAGCTTGGGGCTTGAAAGATTCACTGTTTGCTGGGTTCACAGATGCTTTATTGAAGAGCCAGGAGCCTAGGATTCACCCCGGAGCAGTGCTTCGTGTCCTTCCTACCACCCCTTTGCTGGAGGAGGTGTGTTTGCTTGGTTCCTGAGTCTATTTTGGTTTGCTTGAGGGCAAACCAAACTCACTCCTTTTTATGGAGTTCTCACCTTGAACTTGACTCTGTTAAATTCCAAGCTCCATGTGAATAGTTTTCTTTATTTCCCTCTCTAAATTTCAGACTAATTTTTTTTTTTTTTTACCATACTCTGGTGCCTAATGTGAACACATTTATCTTAAAAATAAAAGAAGCAATATTTGATTTGGATTCCCCAAGCAATAAGCATTCACTATAAAAAAGCTGGAACAAATCCCCATTTTCTTTTGGTTTCTTCTTTCTTGACAAAATTGAGAAAATTATACATATCCCTTCTTTTTTCCCCCAGTTCTTTCCTCCTGATGTTATGTGATGAGAATGTTCTTCATGTTGGTTGAAGAGTTATTATAAAACATTTCACATCTAGAGGAAAGTTTTCAAGAACAATGTTGTGGACATTGCCTTAAGAACTACAACATTTGGGCTGGGAAGGTGGCTCAGCGACAGAGTGCTTATCTTGCATGCATGAGGCCCTGGGTTCGATTCCTCAGCACACATAAGCAGAAAAAGCCAGAAGTGGCGCTGTGGCTCAAGAGGTAGAACACTAGCCTTGAGCTGAAGAGCTGAGGGATAGCGCCCAGGCCCAGAGCTACAACATTTCTCAAGTAACTGGCAAGTGGATATTGTTCTTTCTTTGGAGTAACTACCTTTCCCACCACTCCACAAGCAACCAGTATTTGGATTCTGTATTTCCCCCCCCTGCATTTATTCACAATTGTATTATTATATATAATTCTCAAGCAATCCTATCAAAGAATCTATTCTCTGTAACTTTATTTTCACATCTGTGAGATTCATGTACATTGGCCTACATAACTGCTGCATTTGACTGCTGCATAGTATTCCATTTCTTGTATACACTACGATTTATCCATTTCCTGTTGGACACGCTCTTGGACATGCTCTCCCCTGGCTATGTGGGGGGATTTTCCCTAGGGCACATACATAGAAGCGGAATGGCTGGATTTGAAGAATTACCATCTCAGCTTTGCTAGATGTTACCAAATAGCTCTTCAAAGTGGTTGAAACAACATGAGCTGGAGGGGTAGAGAAAGAAGTGCCAGTGTTTGTGGCTCAGACTTAGATTTTACCAATTTGATCAGTGTAAGGTAGAATCAGGGGGTGGGTCTGCATCAAGGGGCTTCTGTGCTAACTACAATCATCACAGCCAGCCAGCCAGCCATGCAGCGTGGACACACTCAGTGGTCCAAGTAGCTAGGGATTAACTGCCATCTCATTAGCAGTACAGCTTGAAGGCAGGGGAGATGAGTCTGCTTCCCCCTTGGTCTCCCCCAGTTGAATCCCATGATGCACTGGTAGGAACTGGAAAGGACATGGATGGTGGAGAGCTAGCATCTTTGCCACTGGCCCTCTGCTTCCTCTTGGGCTAGATAGTTAAGCTCTCGGAACCTCACTTTTAGAATCTGTAGAATGAGATGGGTAACGCTCAACTGCCAGGATTGTTGGGAGAAGAAGAAAGCAGGAATGTAAAATTGCTTAGCACCAGGTAGTACTGGAATCTAAAGTACAAGTGAGGGGAGGAGAGACATAACTCTGGCCTTGCGGAGGCAATGGGAGAGAGACGGGAAGATGAGGCAATGATAACCCAGATCTGATGATGGGAAAAGGGGTGAAGTCTCAACCCAGGAAAACCAGGGGAGAGGTTTATGAGGGATTACAGGCTGACAATTGGAATTGACAAGATCCAGAGCAATAATCCTATGGAGCCCCTTTGCTACTGAGTTGTAGGGGGTGTAATTTCTAGGTGGCATTTTCATCTGATGTCATATAATGATCATTTTATGTTAAACGGTACTGGTGGCCTTAAAATAGAAGGATGAGTCTAATCTCATCCCAGGAGACTGAGGCAGGGCAGCTAGGCTGAGGTGATGGAGAAATGAGAAAATAGGTCAGAAATTAAGCCAGGTTCAGGTACTGAAATAGCATGGGGAACTAAGGCGGAAACAAAAATCACCAGAATGGACTTGCATTCCTTCCATGACCCTCTCTTCTTGCTTAGATGTGAAATCACATACAATGACCCTCGATGAGTCATCAAGTCCAAGAATAGAAAGTGCCTGTTTTTAAATTTTTTTACTTAATAAATCTGTGAATGGGAAGAAAAGAAGACCATAAAGAACAGACATGCATGTCACAAGACCCTTGATCGTAAGGTCAACTCATCTTCTCTGTCTCGGTGATAATATCAAAACAGGATAATTGGGAAGTTGCTAGGTGACCAGAAATCCAGGTGACCAATTCTGATCTTGAACCTCTGAGCCTAATTAGGGAACATAAATCCCTTAGGATGAAGACCACCCATTGAGCCCCCTAGCTTGTCAGAATAAGCTTTTCTCTTATACCCGGCTTTATCTTCCTACATTAGATGAATCTCTGCTGGGAGTTGCTATGGACCTCTTGCATGAGCTGAAAATTTATTTTAAATTCATTTCATCTTCATTCCAAATTCTTGGGGTCTCAGTGGGCCTGGAAAATTGAGTAGAGAATTTCCTTTTCTGTATCAGGTACCTGTCCTTTTTTCCAACTACCTTTTCACAGCGACAAAACCTTAAAAGCCAAAGTACTTTCTTTCTGGCTGGGCACTGGTGGCTCACACCTGTAATCCTAGCCACTCAAGAGGCTGAGATCTAAGAATCATGGTTTGAAGCTCAGCCAGAGCAGGAAAGTCTGCGAGGCTCTTATCTCCAGTTAACCAACAGAAAACTGAAGTGGAGCTGTGGCTCAGAGTGGTAGAGCTCTAGCCTTGAGCAGAAAAGTTCATGAGTTCAAGCCCCATGACTGACAAAAAAAGTACTTTCTCAGGGACTGCAGAGGAGGAAGTTGAGAGATTCAAAGCATGAGAAAGACTTGGCATAGCATCCTTGTTTGGAGATGAGGTTGATGTTCATTTTTTCCCCCCAAAATAGTTCTCATCGCTAAATATCACACCACACACAGTAGTCCTTCTTTATGAACAGATACACTCCCAATAGTTTGGATAGCATAGTATTTCACGTACAGTCACTTCCTAGCAATGGGCAATGGGTATTTGTCTTATTTCTTCTCTTTGTTCTTCTCCACCTTTATAAAGAAGACTTCATTAGCCCCTTTTTTTGTGTATATCCTTAGGAATTAGTGTTCTAATACCTAGGGCCCAGGTCAAGAGCTTCTCAAAGGGAAACCAACAGAATTTGGAGATACTGTGGTAGGTTTATTGGTTGTGGTGTGTGTGTGTGTGTGTGTGTGTGTGTGTGTGTGTGTGTGTGTGTGTGTGTGTGTGTGTGTGTGTGTGTGTGTGTGTGTGTGTGTGTGTGTGTGTGTGTGTGTGTGTGTGTGTGTGTGTGTGTGTGTGTGTTCCAGACCTGGGGCTTGAACTCAGGCCCTGGATGCTGTCCTTTAGCTTTTTTGCTCATAGATGGTACTCTACCACTTGAACCACAGCTCCATTTCTGGCTTTTGGGTGGTTAATTGGAGATGAGAGTCTCACAGACTTTCCTGCCTGGGCTGACTTTGACTGTGATTCTCAGATTCAGCCTCCTGAGTAGCCAAGATTATAGATGTGAGGTTGATAGGTTTCTAAAGTCCGTTGTTAGAGCTCAAGAAACGAAATTTCCACAATGCTGTCCACTGGGGTCCACCCCCCCACCCCCCGCCACCATGATGATTGCCATCCCCCAGGCTGATACCAATTGTGCTTTCCCTGTCAGGCCCAGGAATGGCACCAGAAACTCCAGTGTTCACATTCTTCCCCTCCTTGCATTCTAGGTGAGGAAGCGGAGAGCAGCCATTTGCCTGAGTCTGGACAGGTAAGAGCAGGAGCCGCTCCTTCGCCTCCCATGCCTTCTGCCCTTGTTCCCGTCCTTCCTGGCTGCTCAAATGGATTCCCGAGGGCCAGTTCCACTTCACCCCTTTGTCACGTGCCAGTCCTTCCCTAAACATGGACAGGTCACGGAGGACAAAAAACATCTTGTTGGCTATTTTCTCTCTTCCCTTCCCAACAATAGTTGTATTTAGTTCCCCTGGGGAAGTGAGCAGGCCCAGGCCCCGATCCCATGCCCCCGGCACTCAGAGTTCAGCACAGCCCCTGCG